AATGATACGTAAAGGTTCCTGCCTCATATTTATATATATACATATACATATATACATGTATACGGAAATATATGGATATAATATATATATATACACATATTATATACACATATGAAATACATATATATACACATACATACATACAGAGATACATTGATATATATATATACATACATGCATACATGCATACATACATACATACAGAGTCTTATACATATGCCTAAATGAAGTATAGCGCAGGTTCTGTTCTGTACTGCCTCTCCGAGTGCTACGAAAATTTATACCTGTTTATGTGTGTATGTGTGTTTGTGTATACTCTGCATACATCTGCACAAGGCTGGTACGTAAGTAAGTGGGTGGGTATGTAGGTAAGCAAGTAAGTAGGTAAGTACGGGTAGGTATGTAGGAACGAATGAAGGAATTAATGAACTAACGAATGAATGAGCCATTGTATACTGTATGAATGCATGTGCTCATGCATGTATGTTTGTATGTATGTATGCATGCATGCATGTACGTATGTATCTATGTGTGTAACAACATATGTAGGTAGCTATGTATGTGTGTATGTATTTATCTCTGTCTCTCGTCTCTCTCTCGGTGGCTGTGGCTTCTTGGCACTCTGCAGCTGTCTTCAGGCACCTGAACAGGCAGAGCCGTCTACCCAAAGTATCCCCAGCCGTAAAGTCGCCTCAGGAGATGTCAACTGGTGAGTTGGCTTCCGTAGATGTGTGGAAAGGAGCCTTGCGGATCTTGTTTAGAGTCACTTGTATTGTTTATGATACTTATTGTTATTGCTCATTATTGTTATTGTTTGTGTGTATTATGACCATTGCCCGGACATCTCCCAACCAAGGCACACAACTCAAGACTCTAAACTCCAAGCCCTAAGCCCACCGCCCGAACGCAGTGGGGATGCTAACCCGGTAGACGGAAGAGCCCTAGGCCTGGTCCTCAAGATTTAGGGTTTAGGGTTCAGGGTTTAGGGCCTAAAGTTGAGCCTTTGGAAGGAACCGGCCCTTGCTGAGGCTGGAAGCGGAGGGAAAGGGTCGGGTTTCAGTACTGGAGGATTATGCGAGAGTGGGTTACGAAACCCGGTGGTTTTGGGCGTCACATCTGCAGCTAGCATTACACCGTATTTGCAGAATGACCGAAGACTCAAACCCCAAAGCCTACTTCCTGCACTCTTCCTAGTTTCCTAGACACGAAGTTCTCCACCCTGAAATACTGAAACCCCCCAAGCTCAAGCTGTGAATCTAAAAAGTCAAGCCACTCATTTCAATCAACCCTGGTCAATCCTTGGTATACACTGAGCCCTCCATCAAGCCCAAAGCTCCGACGCTCAGCCCCCCCTCTCCTCCGTTCTGACCGTCATAAAAAGATTTGGACGATGATGATGATGACGATTTCCATCATCATCCTAATCATCGTCATCATCGTGATCATGATCATGAGATAGTTGCACTGGGGTTTTGTTAGCAGCTTTCATCTGAGAGCTTCAGGCAGGATATTGGTTTTTGGCTGCAATAGGTTTGCTAGGGTTCAGGGGGCGTGGTGCTGGAAGAGAGTCGCTGAGGGGGCGATTCGCTCACCAAGGGTTAGTCCTGGAACAAAGAGTCGAAAAGGCTGCGCCTCGAACGTTTGGCCGACGTACAGCAGGCGGCCGTGAGACGAAGCGCCTCGGTAACCACCCTTCCCCAAAAGGATGCAGAAGCGATCCGACCATGGCCAAAAGATGAATCGTGAGTCTAGGCCCTAGGCTTCGGGAGGCTCATGACTGGATCAGAGGCGGACATCCGTTCTGTCTTTTTTGGTGATGCGGGACTTATGCTTGCTTGGGCTTGGGCGAGGCGGGAAATTGACCCAAGCCTGTGCCTAAATGTCAGAGTCGGATTTGACATTGAGGCAAGCTCTGCACTTTGGTATCGCAGCTTATTATCGAGAATGCACGTACTTGCAGTTTCGTGTGAGCACCGGTTGCTTTCTCTCGCTGTAATGTACGCATCAGGGACTCGGGAATTCTCAAGCTCTGCAGTCAATTCGACTCGGCTAGTACAGGAGCCTCAAAAATTAATCGGCCATAGTTTGTGCTTGCTATTCCTTCCTTCGATGCCCCATACGCATATTCGCCCCCTGACCCTAGGCGACTTGAAACCCAAGGGACCTCAACCCCAAGGATTCTGCCGGGAGCTCTTCCATCGCTGGTTCTGTACGGCTTACCGGACTCGTCGTGAGTGCGATGGCAGCAACAAGTTTCTTCCGGCAGTCCAGTAGTCTGGCATCTACTTTCTGGTTTCGGGTTTAGAGTTATCTACATTGTGGATTAGGGTTTAAGGGTTAGTACAACTTGCACGGCATGGTCTGCATTGCTGTCCGGCAGGATACCTGCGAAACATACACTGAGACATGCGGCCGAAACATGCCCGAAGCACACCTGAAACATGCTCCTGAAAATTGCTGAGTTGAAACCTCGGTCGCCTCCAAGACGTCTCGGGAAGCCTTTCCCGAAACAGATCTCGGAACTGCCGGAACCGTACCCGAATCATACCCCGGAGGCAACCCGTCGTGGGCACCCTTTTCTGCGCTTGCACCAATAATTCAAAAAAGAATGCCAGGTTGCTCCTCAATCCGATGTCCGTCGTCTTCACTGCCTGGAAGGTACGGGGGACACCCTGTCAAATTGTGACAGATGTAGCATGTCGAAGCTCGTGGCTGGCGGTTTTCTACTCCACATGTCATGACATGGTTGCAGTCCAGATCCTTGATTGAAAACCCATACACAGATCAATATCCCCAGCCCTGAAGCCCACAAAGCTTCAAGGCTGCACGCGGCCCACGCGTGCCTCAGCTGGAGCTGTTGCCCAGCAGCAGCAGGTTCGGGTGCCGAGCTCGGATGAATGCAAAGGCAGACCCACAATCCCCGAGCGCAAATCCTCACAAACTCCCAGACTTACATAGTTACCTTCCATGCCCAACCCTATAGATCCTCGAACCCTTTGAGGCATGGACTTGCAGTGGGGCCGGTGCTTCTGAAGCTGCAGACATCAAGAGCTGAGGTACCAAGTATCAGTCTCACGGTATGCAATCCCAAGCCCTACTTACGCCATCAAGCGTGGCATCGCGACCTACTTCGGGACCCGGAGGGAGAATCAACAGAGGCTCAAGTTTTGAGTGCTTTGCTGCGATCTGTCTGCGTGTTCTGCCAGGCAAATCGAGGTCGCATCATCTCCGCCAGAAGAGGCAGTGTTTCTCCCCGTTTGGAAGTACAGTAGCTGGCAGCTGCTTCATTCGGCAACATGGGCATATCACATATATGGAGGTTGTTGACCGCGTGCACACGTGATTTCCGAGATCTGGCGCCAGGAAGGTCCCAAACCAGTCCCTGACAGAAGGCAACATGCCACAGTCAGTCTTCTGCGCGGATAGGGATTGGTGACTATAATGACTTTTTTGGACAAAACCTGAATGGAGCTGCTAAAGCAGATGGTGCGCATTGCAGCAGCTGCCTCCTCTGAACACTCGAACTCGCCCTCCTTGCAGCCTGAAGCTGCAGAAGCATCCTGCCCGGCTTGGCACGAAGTTTGTCCGACTGCTTGAAGCTTGTGTGGATGTAGTTGCTGACAGGGGGCTCGTGGTGGCTGGCGCAGCTGGCTCCGGCAGGTGTGCGGTCTCACAACTTGCACCTTACTGGTCGCAGCTGTTTGCACGACAGTCATTTCTGCACTTGTTCATGCACCACCTGACCGCCAGACGCTCGCTCAAAGACGTCAATACCGGTGGCTGCGCCGACGGCGATACACCGAGGCCTCCCCGCAGTCCCCGCAGTCCCAGCACCGGCTCTCGCATTGGCACGACTTTCGAGGCAGCCCTGGCGCTGCGAGGCGTGCGGCAGGCCTGAGCCCCAACCCCTATAGCCATGGCCCTTCTAGCCGAGCAGTCGCCAGAGAGGCCTTCTGCTTCACCGCCTGGCGGCTCCGCTGTCGGCTGCGGCGCCTGGCAGCTCTAGCCTGCAAATATATGTAGTCCTCGAAAGGGTGCCGATCCGAAGTCTCGGAAGTGGCTTGGGCTGCCTCTTGTAAGGCCCCGCGGCTCCTGGCGCGCTCGCCGGGCCTGCGCCGTGCAGCCTTCGAGATCTGGGTGCCTTTTGTAAAATTGTATAAAGAAGAGCGTAGCATTGACTTTGGAATAGGGCTTGACTTGGTGAATTGGTTTCTGTTCCGTTCATCCTTGAGGCGCAAGGCGTGGAGCGGCGGCAGCTTGCTTCCCTGCGCCCAGGGCTCGGCCGAAAGACCGGTTTTGGTGCCCCCAGATTTTGGAGCGTTTTTGGTTGAGGTCGCGCTGGCCTGGCCCCCGCCCTCCTCTCGGCGCTCACCCTGAGGACGCTGGGGGCAGCCTTCAGCTCCTCGGCCTTCACGCCACAGGGCGGACCTGAGTCTCGAAAGCTTGAAAAGTGGTCTTTGTTTCCGAGCTCCTTGAGAAGCCTAGCATGTGCGATTACTTGGATGATCCTAGATGAGCTCCGTCTGCGGCTGACGCTGCACGCCTGGTCGAAGCTCGTCGCTTTCCGCCACTTGGAAGCTTCTGTGTGGAGACACCGCGCTTGGCACCTGTAGTCGGAGCTTGTCGGAGCTTCAGGATGCATATCATTGTGCTTCCGTCTTGCATTTTGCTTTCACTTTTCGCCTCTGCATGCCTTTATCGTGGATGAGGGTATGGCCCGGATCCTTTTTCTGAAGGAGGGGATGACTCTTTGTGGCACCATGTTACAATGTTGTAAACCCGACCGTTTTGCAGCCGGCGTGCTACCGCCCAGAACCTTGCGAAGCCTCTGACGCACTCAAGTCACATATGGTCGTCGACATCCACTGGCCGCAGGTTCTGCCCCAGGTAGGCTGTCACCGCAAAGTCTGGTGCAGCCGAGGAGTCCAGGCCGTATAGTGCCCGAGTGCGAAGAGGAAGGGGATCCCGGGTCGAGGATGTAAAACCTTTAATATTGAGATAGATCGAAGGAGAATGCGTAGATCCGAGAGTGACGAGCGAGGAGTAGCTGGGAAGTGTTGGAAGGCGAAGGATCATGCTCTCTGTGTTCCATATCTCTAGACGCGACCGTCATGACCACCAGACCGCGACGACGACTATTGCGACGGTTTTTACTCAAAATTTACGACTCGAAGTACACAATTTCACTACTTTTGCATCATGTCGTAGTGGATGTGTTGCTACTACTACATGTGAGGCGCCATGAAAGTGCTATACATACCTACTGCCTCACCTAACTACTGCTGGTACTAATTGCCAAACTCAGCCAGCATTTGCCCAAGCACCTGTACACTCAGAGCTTGCCGACGGAGTTTGGAACCCTTGCTACCCAGCAGCTGAGGGTAGCGCCTGGGCCCCCGCTAAGTGAAGCTCTTTAGACAGGAAAAAAACCCTAAACTTCCTAAACCCTAAACCCTGAACCGTTGCCCTAATCTCGCAGATCTTCCCGGATTGCAGGTTATCTGGGTGCTGAAAGCCTTGAAGCCTGCCTGCGCGCCGCTGGGGTGCTGACCGGCTGACCATGCCTCGTCGGACAGCCATCCTTAAGTTCGCACAGTTACTATAACCACGATGCAGCAAGCCGATACTGCTAGTATTTTACTCAGGATGCTTTCGATGACCACAATACACAGCATAGCGGTAAACCAATACTTGAGCTGGCCAGAAGCACAATCACCGTCGTCGTCATCATCATCATCATGATCATCGTCGCCGTTGTTGTGATCATCAATATAGTCTTCTTGCATCATTACTATCCCATCATCCGCCACCCATCTTAGGCCTTCAACCACTTCAGGTTTTTGCTTGGATGGATTGCAGACGTGAGGCCGTGCTCGTGCACGGGTTTCCGGGTGTGGTGCAGCCGTGCAGCAGCTTGATTTAGTTGGCTGTGCCTGTACGATGTGCTGCTGGGAGATGCTTTTTGCATTGTCAATCTTGTTCTTGTTGTTGCCCTAATGGCCCTACACATCAATTTCACTCGAAACTTGCACATTGTCTGTTCTTCTGATTGCTTCTTGGCGGCTACTAACACTTGTGCGTGCTGATTCGGTTTAATGGTTCATTATTCAGGGATATCGGTGACTTCATTGCCAGCTTTGCTGGTATTGGTATTATTCGTGTTATTGGCATTCGTCATTTGTTAGCTTTAGGATGGCTGGCTCAAGTACTCTTGCTATACTGTTCAGTTCCTTACCTTCGGGCTTGTGCTCGCGAGTGTGGAAGCATCTGTCAGGCACTGCCTTTCGTAGTTAATGTCTCCTTTTTCACCGTGCTACGACGAGATCGCTTTCCTGCTGTTGCTAGCCAGTCCCAGCAACTGAAAAAGGCTGCTCGAGCTGAGGGCACAAGAGTACTCGAGTCGACTCTTCGCCATGGAAGTGGTTCGCGCTCATGCAGTTGAACTCGCACCACGGAGTTGTCAACCCGTGGTGGGGATTACGGTTTGCGGCTTCATGGCAGTGAGCAGGAGCTGCAGTGGTAGCATTGGTAGTGGCAGTAGAGGCAAGAAGAATGACACTTCCCATTCGAGCCCTCATCCCATTGTGACCTGCTTGACCCACGCAGGTGAACATTCTGTTCATGCATGGCGGCAGATACCGCTTGCAGCAGCCTTGGCTTCTTCAAGGGCTTAGGGCCTGAGTTTGAGATCCATCTTCCTTGATGTGCGTAGTGGTTTAGGGTTTAGGGCGTAAGGTTTAGGGCCTAGGGCTTTGGGGATGGAGGGAGGTTCGAAGAGGCTCGTGTTGGGTGGAAATCACACACTTCAAGCGTGCAAGGGAAGACGCCCCAAGCATTTCACGACTCGTGTAAGTCAGTGATGAAGGGTCAAGAGTCAAGCACAGCATACCTACATTGTTCGATGTTCTTTGTAGCCGGGGCTGACCTCTTGTCTTTCGAAGAGGTGTTGGCATTCAATCGCAGTGTCAAAGTTGCGGTGGGCCACCATGTGGATCGACCTCAGCATCGTACGTCGGAAGGAAAAGAAGGGAAGGGAGGAAGCAAGCAGGGGATGAAGGAAGGAATCAACGAATCAAGAAAATCGAGAAAGGCAGGAACTTGAACCCGTGCATCTTCATGTCTTGATGCTTCATCGCCGGGCGAATCGATTCGACTGTTTGGCAAAAGGCTGAAAGAACGTCCCTAAGGTGCTACACTCCCGATGGCACCTTCGGAGGCAACGATGGCTCTGAGATTAACAACAACATCGTGGCCACCATGATCCAGGTCGGCCACAGAGGGGTTTAGGGTTTAGGGTTTAGGGTTTAGATAGGCAGCTCTGGACCGGTGACTGCAAGCAGGTTTCGGCATTCCGTGAGCTAATCGGCTCTGTGTCTGGCACGGGCTTCAAGACTTGGCTCTGGAAGAGTAAGCCCTGTCTCACATTCCAGTTCCTTAGTGTCCAGAAGGAGAGCTAACGCCATAAGTTATACAGTATAAAAATGCTCTATTACATATTTAGTATGTTAGTATATTAAAGCATTGTTACTACAGTATATATATATATATACATATATCTAGATATTATATGGCGAAGTGCAGGTCTTCGGCGTCTCTTCTGGATGTAGCACTAAGGATGGCCGGGGTCCTCGGAACCGAGGTGAGGGAGACTTGCACAGGTACTTGCTGGTACGAGCGCTGCTGGTTCTACTCCTACTACTGCTACTGCTACCACCACCCCAACTACTGCTATACTACTATTTATGAACCTTGTTAGTCAGAGTTGTGTTCTCTGTGTGGCTGGACTCGTCTCCTTCCTCTTGTTGCTACTGCTGTTGCCACTACTTCCACTAGTTCACGGAGAGTACTAACACTGGGTGCACGCAATCTGTCCTCGTCCTCCTCGTCCTCGTCCTCGTCCTCCTCGTCATCATCATCATCATGATCATCATCGTCATTATGGTTATAATCGTCGTTGCAACCATCTGCATCTCGATTTTTGTTGTCATGTTCGTCGTGTTTGTCCTTCTCCTCGTGATTCTCAACATAGCCGAACTTTAGCATTGCTATACCACCGCTACTGACAGTAGCAAAGACAACTGCAAGGTTAATGTGAGGGTTTGAAAAGCTTCATGTTACCGAGTCTTCGCACCTGCTTGCCTGAGCCTCTGGTCCCTTGTTTTGTCCTTGCATGGTCTCGTTCAGAGTCTTGAGGGGGCACTCTTGCTTCAGCAGGCGATCCTGGCAACAAGCTTGCACCCCTGCAGATCCCTTCGATGCATCCTAAGGTTGCCTCAGGGAAGAGCGGTGGGAATGCTGGTTTGGCTACAAGGTGCTGGGGATCTGGGCTTCGTCGCTCTTGCTGAACCGTCCCGAGTCGGTTTTGTTGAACAGCGGATCGAGTGTGAGCTGCCCTCATGTGCAGTCTTCTACACTGCAGCGTCATGCTGCGGGGCGCTGCAGGGGGGGTTCACCACGAATTCGATGAATTGCATTTTCAACTTCCAGTACGATGGAGGCCTGGGGCCCCAGAGCCAACCCTTCAGGCCCCCAGTCAGGGACTTGTTTTGAAAGTGCTGATCCTGGGCTTTCACTCATCATCATTGTCCGGCCGGTCCATATGCGTTGAGGCATTGTGGGCTGACCGACGTCATGTTCGTGTTGACTGAAGACCGGATGGTCATGTAGTCTCGCCGATCCCATTGCTCACAAGTGCCCAACAGCTCATCCGAGACGTTACACTCAGCAACCAGCCCCTGAGAAGATAAGGAACCTGTCGCCGCAATGCAAGGGACTTGAACCGGTCTTTACCTGACATCCGCAGCCATCGGTCTTAACGGCTAAGTGGCTCTATATATCTATATCTATATCTATATCTATATCTATATCTATATCTCTCTATATATATACGCACACATATAGATACATTCTGTTTATGTGTTTTTATGTGTGTGTATATATATATATACAGAGATACATATATATATATATACATATATATATATACATATATATATATACATATATATAGATAGATAGATAGATAGATAGATAGATAGATAGAGTATACAGCAGAAACTCGGCAGCCTGAGGTCGGCCAGGCTGGGACATCGAAGCTGGCGACCGCAGCAGGCTCGGAAAGAGTGGGTTCGGCAACTGCCTTGAGGCCGACTAGCCAGGCTAGGGCTTTGGGATTTTTGCCTTTTTTGAGTTTGGGGCTTTAGGGTTTCGTTTCTTCAGGTTCGTGCTTTGTTTCTTTTGGTCACTTGCTGTGGGTTTCAGAGAAGTCG